GAGATACGATCGGCCTTGCGGCATCCATCATCACCACCGGCTACTCGTTGAGTTTCTTGAAGCCTCCTTCACTTGACCGCTCAATGTAGGAATTCCTCCGATCGAAATAACCAGATAACTCAATTTCATCACTCAATCGAGTCGAGTCCTCCCGCGCATGCTCCCTCGAAAATAATCGTGACGTGTCCTCTGAATGCTGAGAGCGTCGTTCGATCCGGGAAATAATTGGAAAAGTCGCGTTCATCCCGTATGCCCGATTTCGTTTTTATGAAATCATCTTCAGGAAAGAACAGAAACATCAAATCAAGAATGCATGAGATTTTCCCTCTCAATAGAAAACGTCGGTTTGGGACTGAAATTTCGCCACTGAGTAAGCCCAAAACGCGAATGTACGATAAAACCTCGGCGTGGCGTCAGAGAACTCATGGCGTGTTCATCCTTCATAAGCCGAAGCTGTTAATGAGCTGTGTCGACAAGTGACGGCCGTGTCTAAGAAGCGTGTTTTGCGGTGAGCTCTGACTGAGTCTTGAGCGGCTTGGTCCACGAGAAGGGTCTGCCCTTCCCGCAGGCTCTCGCCAGCGAACGGACGAACGACGGCCACCTCAGCTGGAGAGCGTTATATAAAAGCATAGAGTCTATTGCACTTGAAGTTTACCTCATTGATCGCGCTATCTTGTTCATTGGTCGTCCGCAGCAGGGAAAAGTCTCAGGTCAGAGAGCTCTCCACCGGAGTTGCGTAGGTGTGTGAGGCCCCAATCCCGAAACCGAGTGACGTGCGAGCAGGCGCCTCGAAGTCTGATCATGGGATCCGATCAGCTAGATCACGGCAAAATGCCAATAAAATCCCCGTCGCCTCCTGAAGTCGAAAAGTTCGACTCGAAAATGGATCCGAAGAAAAAACCCGCCAAGAAGTTTGTCAACGACAAGCCACCGTTGTCCTGCTTCCGGTCGGGTGCGATGCGGCCTTTCAAGATCGGTGCAATGCAGAAAAACGGATTCGACATGAATTGCAAAAACAACATTGGTGACATGCAGAAGTACCTCCGTGAGCGTCGCAAGCAGTTGGCCCTGCAGAAAAGGGGCAAAAGTCTCGACGCGTCCGTCATGGATATACAGAACGGGGAATTCCTCTCGGCCGAGGAGGCTCTCGTAGAGAACATGAAGAACCTCCGGAAGCTCAACGAAGCGTACGAGGCCGCCATACGGGCGGCTCGGAGCCAAGTGGGAACCGTTGTCAGGGTCCGGAGCCTGACTGGGGGCGAACGCATCGAAACCCGAGTCGGACGCAACGGCACGCTAATCGAACTCCGACTCGGAGGGAACGGAGAGGTGATCGAGGAGACTGTTCTTCGTTCGGTGCCTCGGGTGGGCCAGGTGCTCAGAAGTCAGAAACTCGCCGACGGTGAAGTGCTGGAAACGAGGTTCGGCAATAGCGGCATCCTGATCGAGGCGAGAATCGGGAGCAACGGAGAAGTTCTCGAAGAGTGTGTGATCAACGCGAAAGAGCGAGTTGGTGAAGTGATTTCGAGGAAGGAGCTCGCATACGGTGAAGTGATCGAGACCCGAATAGGACATCAGGGTCGACTGGTGGAAGTCCGTCTGAACAGTAAAGGCGACGTCATCGAAGAGATCGTGCTGTGTCCGAGTAGCGGTGAGGGTCTGATTGGAACCGTCATCGAGATCAGAAGTCTCCCGACCGGAGAGACGGTCGAAACCCGGATCGGTCGCAACGGGACCCTCATAGAGGCCCGCCTCGGCACTAACGGCGAAGTTGTCGAGGAGATCGTTCTGCGTGAAGTTCCTAGAGTGGGACACGTACTCAAGCAACAGACGCTGGAGAGCGGACAGGTACTGCAAACTCGCTTCGGCAAAGGAGGAATCCTCGTCGAAACCCTCGTGGATGCCGAGGGGAAAGTGATTCAAGAAACAGTGATCAGTGATAATAGTCGAGTCGGAGAGGTCATGACGAGGAGAGAGCTCCCTTACGGCGAGATCGTGGAAACCCGGATAGGTCAAAACGGTAGACTCGTCGAAGTTCGGCTCAGTAACGGTGGAGAGGTAATCGACGAAGTCGTGCTACGTCCCGTTCCTCGCGTAGGCGAGGTCCTGAGGAGACGTGTGCTGGCTTCGGGTGAAGTCTGTCAGACGAAAATACGTAAAGACGGTCGACTCGTCGAGACTCGCCTGTCCGCTGACGGACAAGTTCTCGAAGAGACTCTTCTGGACACCGAGGTTTTCGCCGGTGAGGTTCTCCGCGTGATCGATTTGAATAACGGGCGGAGAGTTGAAACCCGGGTTGGAAACGACGGAAAAATCGTCGAGGTGTATGTCAACGCCAACGGCGACGTGATCGACGAGACGATTGTCGACACCGAAGCTCTCGCGGCCTGCCAGGACGGAACGGAAGAGCTGGAGCCCGATGTCCCCGTGGAGAACGTTCCCGAAACCCGATACGATTCGGAAGGTGAGGAGTTACCTGAAGAGGAATCGGAAGAACCAGGCGCGGAACGCATCTCGAGAAGAAGGAAAAAGACCCCGCCTCCCCTGAACTCATCCCAGGTGGAGCACATCAGGAAACAAGCGGCTCAACACGAGGCTGAGCAAGCAAAGAGAGTCTTTGAGCAATTCAGACCCCGAAGCCCGGAGAACAGTTTGGAAAACAAAATGGACGAGAGACGATTCAGCGTCATGAAGCTCGAGGTCGAGAACCGTCGAATCGCCGAAAGAGCTGCGCGCTTGCGGCTGAAGAACGAGGAATTGGAAATCGTCAACCGATTGTCGGACGTTGTACTGGCGGATGGCGTCGAAGGTTTCCGTCCCGCGAAAAAGATGAATCGACCCACGCGCTCCATGTCTATGGTGCTCCATTGATCCCCATCCTGTGTAGGTATTCCCGAAGTGTTCTCTGTACGGGTCGCGGCTGAATGCCCGGCTCAGCAGTCACTTCCCAAGAAGACATCGGATAAGTGAACTTTGCACAAAGAGAATTCAAACGAGAGAACATGAAGCAGCGGATCTATCGACTGCCGCCATCCGAAGCGTTGTTGTTGTTAAGCGGATACTTAGACGTTTTTGGGTTGTTGAGCAGCCCGTTGTTGCCTCCAAGCGGTCGATCTGGACTCGTTGATGCGAGTGGTTTCGTCCAACTTGGAGGAATGAAAGGATGTGATGTAGGCATGTTATATTGGTTTGTAAATTGTACATATCGTCCATTTGCTATCCCTAGATACCTCGTCGACCGAGAGACAGAATAGGAAGGTAGATCGAATGAGCATTCACTTGACGGGAAAACGCTGCTCGAATAATTCAATGCTCATTCGATAGATGAGCATTTTTCACCGGACGCCTTCCTCGGACATGGGAAAATTATGCTCAGATCAATTCGACCCGGAGTTCGGGAGAGGGCGGCCGGAGGACAGATTGACAAGTATCCTTGAACTTCGAGGGAGGAACCGCGTCCGACTGGAATCTCCCGGTTCCTGTTCAGCCGCAGAAGATATATCAGAGGAGAAGATATCCGGAGCATGGAGTAGGTCCGAAAATAAAACTTGGAATCGAATCTTCCTCATTTCGTCTTGCATCTTCGAAATCCGCCGCTGAGAAATAAACTGAGGCCGGTTTTTGAAACCCGCTAATCGGTGACCGAGCGAGAGCAGCGGTGCTCTATGTTATGGCGTCGGAAGGTCATTGCTAAATTGACCGCGAGGTCTCTACGAGAGCACTGACGTCAACGCTGGAAGTAGGTCTCGCGTAACGAAGGCTCGCCCTCCGAGTCGGCTCTAACTTTTCTCTGGGCATGGGCTTTTCTCCCGGTCTGTTTTCCGCGAAGCTCACTCAATCGATGTTTTCTCGAATTCTTGAGCGCCGATGAGCTCTCCCATCGGATCTACTCGAGTCTCATCCTTGCCGGTGAGTCTGGAAGCTCAACAAAAAGGAGCTCGAAACGAAATCGCGATGCTGCGTTTTCGCAATGAACAAAAAGGTCTGCCACGGTCACCCACCCTCTTGATCGACATTTGAGACAAAATCTTTGAAGCATACAGCAATCAAAAAAAGAGCGGATGTTTCAATAACCAAAAACATCAGTTCAAGTGTATTTAGTATCTAAACTTACAACAATATTCCACACCCGATCGAGCTAGATGGTTGGGAGTGGCGCCTGAACTTCAAATGATATTCACGTTATGTATTACTGGTTCGAACTTCTCCAACTTCTATTAACAATCATCTCTTTCCAAGAGCAGATCTGATGCAGGATGGGATTCTGCTTATGCGAGCATGGAATCATTCTGAGGATCCGAGAGTTCAAGTTGAGCTATCAGACATCTATCCGCTTTGTTCGCGGAATTGGAGACTCCTGACGACTCTCATGTCCGGAGTGGGTGGGTTGTCGGGATCCGGCGTTAGACCCAGCTCGCTCATGATCAGCTCCTGAAGGTTACACAAAGTTCTTCAAAATACATCACTTGTCTTTCGCGTTCCCGGAGTCAGACCTACTTCAGTATCTGAACTCATCCCCACCGAACTCACTCAGAGTATAGGATGGATTGATGTATCGTCTCGGGAGGATTCATTGCTGCTAAACCTTCCACTCCGCTGAAGGCTGGAGCGAACGCGTATCGAAAATCACTCAAGTCACTAATGTCTGCTTGCTCCTGAGAAACTTATCGGAGAGAACCGCCCACGAACAATTCAATTAAATTCAATGGAGGGCACGAGTTTATTTGAACGCGAATTCTCGGGGAGGATTCCCCGGGAGTTCCCTCCTATCCAGAAGACGGAATGTGAGTCTGTATGTGTACGATCGATGCCGGGGTGACCGTGTCTCGCGTCAGGTGTTAATCATGGAATAAATATTTCGATCTCGTTGTCTCTGTCTTTTTTTCGTTTATTCTCTCCCTCCCCTTCGGTTGTCCCTGGACGGTCCTCTCGGCGCGTTCTCATCTTCGTTAATCTACCTAGCATGTGACATAAGGCATTCTATATACAACTAATCGCGTTCACTCTCTGTGTGGGAAAACTTCCTCATACGGTACTTCTTCGGGATGCGCATGCGCATGATCGCTGTGCGCTTGTCTGTTTTCAATGCTGTCGAAACAATCTTTGGTCCCGTCGCCGGTTCTGATCATGCGTTTCTTAACGACATGGTCGGGGACAGTTTTCAGGTCGTAAGCTTGTCCGATGTAGGCCATGAACTCGATGAAGATTGAAGTCAGGTTGATTTTCCAGCCGAGTTCGGAAGTTCGGTAGTCCCATGGGAATGTGTGATGGTAGTTGTGGAAGCCTAAAAGCCGAGGAGAAGCCGATCGAATTAGCAATCGAAGAAGGGATTTCCATCCCGGGAATTTCTTCTGAATGTCGAATATTGAGCTCTGCGTCGGAACGAACGGTGTCAACTTACCTTCACCAATGGCGACGAAAGACACGAACGCGTTCTCGACTGGTGAGATGTTCTTGTCGTAGGGCTTGTTTCCCCACATGTGAGCAGCGCTGTTGACCAGCCACGTGAAGTTCAAGGAGAAAACGTATCGAGTCATAGCAGCCACGAAGAATCCATTCGCGTAGCCTTCTCCGAACATGTAATGAGGCAGCACGGAGGGCAAATAGAAGCACAGAATGCCGGTCAAAGGCAGGTAGAATTTTCTTTGAAATCGGATCACTGGGTCTTGCAGAAGATCGGAACAGTCGACGGACTTTCCTCTGCGGAACACCTCTGGATGCTTTTTGCACATCAACCAGCCGACATGGGCGAAGAAGAAGCCTCGGTTGACGTTATGGGGATCGGCATCGGTCTCCGAGTATTTGTGATGTACTCTGTGGTCTCTCGTCCATTCGTAAAGATCGTTCTGAAAGAAAAAACGACTTCGAGAAAAACGCGGAGGCGAGCATTATCTGCCGACCAATCTCAATTATAGGGCGCTCGAATGGGGAATCAGATCCAGAGCTTTATGGAAGAAAAACGTTAAAAAATTTAGCGCGAAAACTCGGCTCACGCCTCGAGCCGAGTTCCGTTTTGGTGTGCGCTATCTCTCCCTTCAGGCGCCTGCTGCTGCACAACACTGGCGCTACACAATGCTTGAGGCGTTTTCTGAAGAAGGTCGTCGGAAAAAGAACAGCAGCAGTCGCCGCAACCATCGCCACCACCATTCTGGGTCCCCGGATCCGACCGGTTGCGGCGGATCCGATGGGCGGTCGCTTCAAGAACCGAAGTCACGGTGAAGCAGACCGTGGCCCGGACCCTGCCCGAAGATCCAATGATCGAGTGATATTTAACTTCCCCACTTTGTTCCGTGCGGAGTTAACACGGCCATGAGCGCAACTCGCCTTCTTCCCCCTCCCCTCGTTCGACCGGAGCCCATCAGCCCGTCTACATAACGTCAAGTTTCGGCCACGAGAGCGAAGCATCCGAAAATATTTGACATCGCAATTCATCGTAGTTGAAGCATTGACACCGATTCGTCCCCGTTCCGGGGAGGAAGCTCCGTCACGAGCTGGAAAGACCGTTCTGTGGATTTCCCTCGTTACGGGAGCGTCCACGACATACCTGACAGGCGAGACAGTTGAAGAGCATCAGAACAATCCGAAGCGGCAACCTTGCCTTATACGATCTGTGAGACCAGAGGCGATGAGCTCCGGCTGTCACACCGAGACCCGCGAATTGTCCGAGAACGAACGCTGGAAAGCAAACATGGAACAACTGTCAGACTTGGCAGTTTCTGACGAGACCCTCTTCAGCGGACAAAACTCTCTGCATGCTTTTGCTACGCATCCATATCTATTTGCTCAGACACCGAAACAGTGCGCCTGAGTCCTGAAGAAGCGACTTTGCTTTCCAGCACTTGACCCCAAACAGAACCAACAGGCAGAAAGCAAGAAGTGTCGGCCAGAACCCCTTGCAACCTTTTCATATCGATCGGAGGGGCGCGATGAGACAACCCGGGCCATTCGGTGCGGGCATAGAGCAGAATCAAGATCCCGCGGCTTCGGGTCGTGACCTGGGCTCTCTTTCCTCGCGTGCATATGTATTTATACGTCCATAACGCGCAGGATGCGTTTTCTACGCCGGTAATCGAGCGTTATCATTTCCTGCTAGAAATTGAACTTTCTTCCCCGTGACCCCATCGCGGAGGCATGTCTGCCCGGTTAAGGCCGCCGCCGATCATGTGCTACAATGTCACGGATATTCTGTGCCGGCGCCAGAACAGTCGACGGGGCAACCAAGTTCATGGCTGTTGGACAAGACCTCATCCTGGAGCCGACCGCCATCATGTCGCCGGTTCAAGTTTCCAGCTGGAGCGCCTTCTCGTAAATCCACCGGGTTGTAAGAAAATCTGTGCATGTTTTGAAAAACTCATTATTTTTTATTTCGCTCGCAGCTCGCCGCGGCGGCACAGGTCGAGAACGAACGTAGCGAATAAATCCGATGCGTCTCTCGCAGGGAAGAAAAGTGAAACCCGACACCAGTGTTCCGGGAGAAGATCGACGGATTAGCCCATCCGAGGCGATTCGACGGCTAGCGCAGCTCAAACGAGCGAAATAGCGAGTTCTACTTCACAGATAATTTAAGCAGGAGCAGATGAAAAAACAGGGCTCAATGAAAGGATTCTCGCTGCAGTAGCAGCGCGCTCTATCGCCCTAATGGCCGGACCGCGCTTCTGACAGAGTGACCCACATTCTGTGGCGAGAGGCCTCGGCGGCAAGCGAGTCAACGATCTTCTGAGGCAGAACACGCGGAAGGAGGCGAACGTTGTTGCCCTTAAGAAATTCGGTCATCGCCAACTTCGGCAGAGGAAGAAGGGCGCGAAGCTTCGGAAATTCTCATCGACAATCATTATCTTCTTCCTCCTCTTCATCTCGCGTCAATTGGAACCCTCTTTGAGACGAAGCACAGATGAAAGAGAAGCGATTGAATTCTAAGAGAAGATTCGGTCAGGGCCAAGGCTGACAACAAAGAGAACGGATCCGAAGACCCATCTGGCATACGCGCCGGTCGAGCCTTCATTCGGTGGGCGCTTCACGCCGATTCCATTGAATAGCTCTCGATTCGTAGAAACGAGCGTTATCGATCTTCAAATATCCCGTGAAGATCCCGCTGTCTTCCCAGACGTGATTACACTTTGCGAGCTGGAGACGAGTCTCGTTCAAATAAAAGACGATGCCGGAATCGAAATCTCAGAAAACGGAACAGTGTTGGAAGTTGGCGCCGGAAATAATGTGGTGAGGCAGCGCCGGCGTTTCGAGGTTTACCGTTCGCGATGACTCGGCTCCACTCGCTAGGGTTACGTATTCCCTCCCTAAATCTTCTCCATGATGGATTTCGCAAATTCTCGCGCACGCCGGGCAACTCGCAGATCCAGTCACGCAAAGGCATCGTTCTCAGTGGTTTCCCGCTCCGTCACTTTTCCTGACGTCAAAATGGAAATTTGTGCCCGTCTATTTCGACCGAGCTCTCCCGGCCGCAAAGTCGCGTCGACACCCGAACACGTTGCGAAATTCAACTCGGGACCCATTGGTAGAGTTACGCGATGTAGGAGAGACGTCGAATACAGAAACGATTCGTTCACAGAAGAATTTACATTCCTACAGCGCACCGCTATCACGCGCTCAGTCCGAGACAGAGTCGTTGAACGAACATTTCTCGGCGTTCAGTCTGCTTCTGCGGCTTGCCACCCGGACTCGAGAGTCGTTCTCATGGAAGACGTTCAGAAAATAGAATTCCAGTATTTTCGGCGCCATTCCCGTCAATACCCTACGGATTAATGAAAATCGAATCAGGTCGAAGAGACAACTTACCAAACAACCATGTTCTCCACATTGCATGGAAGACTGCGACGTACATGCCGTAGAACATGCAAGAGTGGAGGAAGATGAAGACTGCCACGTTCTGCCATACTACTTGTGCTTTGAATTCTGGAACGACGGCAACTTCTCTCGGAGACTGATCCTGAACTCCTGGAATGTGCGTGATGGCCGGCGCTTCTTTACGCGGGGCGGCGCACACCGGGGATGACTGGAAGAAGGGACGAAAACGGCCGTTTAGCTCCGATCCACAATTTCTTCCACTGACCGGATTCCGTACTCCGAACGGTTCCGGTATTCGATCGCATGCGGGACACACTGACACTTCCGGGCGTATTCCGGCCAGGCCATCGGATTCGTCATCTTGGCGCTCCGATGACACGGAAGATGAAGATGAGGAACTCCGACTGAACGATGCGAGAGAAGGGACTGATTCGGAATGTCGCACATTCCTTCTCACGCAAGCACATCGAGTTGTACCAGTCTTCTCGAGGCGTACGAACCATTCCTCTCGGTGAGAAAATCATAAGGAGGTCGTCAACATAGAATGCTCGGGAGGGGGATTCCCTCAGGACGAATTGGCCCTCCACGGCATGACTGGCCGATGCGCAGCGTTTGGCTAGCGCGGAGTGTTCCGGTGGGGTTACTCGCAGCGACAGGAAATGAATTCGGCAGAGCAACCAGCGACGAAAATTGTAACAATTTTCCAACTGAGCCTGGAAGGACTCAGAAGAAATAATAAGGTTTTAACCTTAACATGTCAACATAACATCCAGCGCCTCTGTGTGTTTCTCCCAAGCGTTGACATTGGTTCTGGTCACAACTTTCCTCCATAGTCTGTCGGAGTCATGCCTCGACAACAATGCAGTCCGAGAAGATAATTGGGAAATAGCCCAGACGACGAAGGTTGCTGCGGCGTTTTATAATTTGTAGTCGACGTACAAGAAGAGGATCGCCGTCTTTCGCTCCGCGGACGTCTTATAATAAGCTGATACAGCACGGCGGCTATCAAAAAACACTGAGGAATAAATGACTCGCTACCGCCCTGTATGAAAGCGTGTCACGAATTCGCCGTACGGGAGCATGGAGTTGCGTTTCCGATGAATGAACGGAAAAACTTTCTTCTGCCGGGTCCGCCATCGGCGCATTATTGGAAGAGGAAAAGGGGAAAATCGAAAGTTCCTCGGCGACAGCGCACGCAAAGCAGCCAGAAGGAGCACTTACGAACACTAGCGCGCGCACACATACACACAGAAAAACGAAATATTAGGGCTCGTCGATGAGCGGCTCGAACCGAGGCAAGTGGGTCTTCGTCGTGGCCCCATTCCAGATTTTCAATCCGTGGACCCTCCGTTTCGACTACTGCTGCCGCCTGTGTCGTCGCTATGTACAGCACAGATTTGAAGAGCGAACGCGCTTCCGAACATTGATGTGCCACTCGGTAATCCTATCAGGAAGTGGAAAAACCGCCAAAATCAAAACGAATCTGTAACAAGATAGACGAAGGCATTCGGCGAAGAAGCCGCCAAACCGATCGAATAGCTTCCCGTCAGAAGAGCTCTGGAGTCACCGCTCCAGAAAATAAGAGAGCCCGAATACCCCTCCCCTGATGTATGGAAGAATGCAGCTCTGGGCTCGATGACGAGCGTGGGTACCGGAACCGGAGTCCCGGGGAGGCTCCCCGGTTTCCAGCGCACCGAGGCGCAGGTGCGATCGGCGCCAAAGAGGGTGCGAGCCTCGCAAGTGCCCCATACCCGTACGACCGGTATTTTACGTGTTTATTTTCCTCTGGGGCGTGCACACTAAGTCTTCCGACGCCGTCCTCACCTCCGCCGTTCTCGGCCGTCCTGTAACCATGTCAACCGACGGCGCCTTCGGAATCGCCGTCGTTGTTGATGTTGGTCTTGTTGGCGTTGTCGTCGTCGTCATCATCAGCACTACCGCCAATACTACTACTGTGAGGTAGCCGTTTGATTCCAGCCACCGAACGCCGGCTTCGGATGTTCGTTTCCCTTCTGGGTCATCCGTCTGGGACTTCGGCTCTTCGTCTTCGCCTCGTCTTCACTTCGAGAAAGCAGTCAGCTACAGCGAGCAACGAGCGAGCCAGCGAGCGAGCGATCCAGCCAGGCAGCCGGCGAGCTATCCAAGCAACACCGGCCCAGAATAAATCCCCGTTAACAACGTTGGAAAGGAATCAAGGAGCGGATTCTTCCGATGGCCGTTCTAGGATCGACCGTCCCGAGTTGGCCATGCCAAACACTTTCTGTACTTTTGCCGCTCGTTGACGACAACGGTGACGGACCCCGGTTTCGCTTTCAGTCGAGCGAGCCGCAATCTGTGATCTCGACGGTCAGATGAACGGGCCGCACGATGCTTCCAGCGTGAACGGGAGACAAAGACGCTCCTCACGCGCACACGACACACCACTGAATGACAAACTCGACGTGAGCGAAGGAAAAACCCCACGCATCGTCCAAACGATGGAGACTAATATCAAGAACGCACGTCCATGACGAAGACGGTCCGCAACGAAAGAGAGCTCACGACGGATCGGGGGCCTGAGAGTGACGGAGCATTCCTCCGAACCGCATGGACGCGTCTCTCCACAAACACCCCCTTGGATTCTGCTGCGATGGAGATCTCTAAAGAGATTCATCAACGCTTCGGCGGTATCATCATTAGCGGGGGCCGAAGCGGCGGCGGTCACTCTCAGGGCTATTCGTCTCATGATAGGGGAACATGCTTCGCTGTGGCCAGCTTTGTTTCTCGAGAGTGCCCCAATTCGAGCGGACCATCATCGGCTATGACGTCACCGAGTTCGGAGAGTTGTCCCGACTCGGCCGAGCTCGATTGTTTGGGCAAGTACAACGGATCGAGCGCGGGGTCGGAGGTCTAACGACGAGTAACTTGGGTTTTTCAAGAAATGGTTGATTTCTCCTTCTTTTTTCTTCGTGTGCGTCAAAACAAACCAGAGGGAGAGAGAGGCTTCGAACTCGGCTAAACTATAACATATATCATCTTGTTCCCTATCGATCGCCGCTGGCAACGGTACCAGTTCAATCTTTCGAGAGACCAGAAGCGAAGCATGGCCGAGAAAAACACCGGAAGTAAATGCACCGAGTCAAGCGCTGGTGGCTTCTTTGTGGAAAATAGAGCAAACATTGAATTTTCAAAATCCTCGCTTGAAACCCTTACGAGGCAGTAGATTCTATACCTTTTGAGTGACGGCCTTGCTCCCTTGGCCTAGTTTAAACGTGATGGTCAACATAGTTGCTTTGGCACAATCCTCCTCGATGCGAGCTCACGCACACCCTCCTTGGAAGCGGAAGGAGAAGATGAGATTTCTGGAGCTCACACCACTCGTCCACCAGCGGAATCCCAGCTTCGAGCTGCGATCCAAACTTAGTGGTCACCACCGAGTGTAGTATTCCACGAACGACTGCTTAAATCCTTGACAGGGCCTGCCAGTAGGTCAGTTGCAGAAGAAGAGTGAAGTCTTATACGACGGCGAAGACACTTCCTCCTCACTCAATCGGCGCTTTCCACATTCGACACTCGCCGGAGCTCCAGTCGCTCACGTAGGCATCCATCACGAGTTTCTCGCCCGCAGTCAAGTTTAGTTTGGGAGGGGGTTCCGGGGCGGTTTGTTTATTCCATCTGAATGCGGTGCTCACGCGTATTCAGAACTCGCTGAGAGCGATGATTGATCTATTCGACTGCTCTCGTCAAAATCATGAACGGCTGCGCTCCTTCAAAGCTCAGCGTCGGCGCCTGGAAAGGGTGTCAGAGTCATATGGAGCCAAGCTTGAAATGCGGCGAGGAAGTCCGTGCACGAGATCCCTCTGAATTAGGATTCGATGAGTCCTCGAACCTACGAACCCTATTCGCTGCAATTTCCTCGGGAGAAGCTCGCCTCCAGGGCGCGGGTGATGATTTCCTCGTAGTTTTGGATGGACAAAATTAACCTGCGCGTAGAAACTAGAGATGAATTTTATTCGTGGAGCGTTTGTTTTCCTCTCGGAGGTTCAAGCCCTCAATACAGAATCCAGCAAGGCTTAAGGCTTGATTGGAATGGCCGGCATGCGTGGTGAGCGCTCTGTCGGCTCCCATGAGATCTTTAAGTTGCTCCTTGAACCCCACCGTAATTAGAATCTTCATGAGCATAATAGGTACGATAACCGGTCTGAGTAAACAGACCATGGGGATAGGGAGGACAGAATCCGACCGAGGCCTGAGAAGTCATCTGAGCGAGATTTTCTTCCTTTAGTCCCCTTCGTCTCACGTGGCCGTTCGGCAGACGGCGTCGCGGTCGCACCAACTGCCTCGCATCAACGCAGGAAATCAGAGAGATTACCGAATCCTCTTCACACACGAACGCACGAAATACTCGATTCGAGAAAAACAGTTTTCGAAACTTTCAACTTACCCCTCGCCTCCAACACTTGAAGCGGGTGATATTCGAAGCATCTCCGTCTCTTGCTAGAAAGGTCGAGGTCGATTCGGTGTACAGAATCCAGCGTCGGTTTGTATACGCTTGTCGAAGTCGGGCACGCGACAGCCAGCCTTTCGATATTCTCTCGCTGTCTGACGGAAGTCGGCGACGGAAGTGAGTCAAGAAGCTGAAATTTTCTTGAGCTTTCCAACAGAAAAATGTGTGACTGGAGACAATCACGACTCATGCAGAAGCTGTTCGGGTCGAGTTTTGGGAGCAGAAACCGTGTTCAAGTGCTGCTGAACGCATCACGGTGACCTACATAGCCTAACCTCGAAGAGGGAGAGGAGAATCTTCGGATTGAGGGGAAGGCGTGACCCCTCCAATAGCCGGAACGCTGTGCTCGGGCTGATATTCGACTTCGATCGTTCGTGATGCGGTACAGGACCTCAGGTTCAGGACCTCGTTGCCTGGTATGCCAAAGTTCCAGAGAGCGGACTCGTTCCGATCGGCTCTCTACTGAAACGGTTACAGGGACGCTTCCGTAGATTTCTCAGGAATTCTTAACCAGAAGACTTCATGGGCTGGGAATTCGGCTTCTCGAAGAGACTTTGAAGTGTTCAGCATGGATTTGAATTTCAGACACACTTCGAGCAAGACCCGTGGGTCAACTATTCCGTCGCGACACCAAAAGAGACAGGATGTCTAGTACGTCTCAAACCGATGTTAG